AATAAAAAATTTAATATAAAATAATATAAAACTTATATAAATAGTCTTAAGTAACCTTATTCTTTAACTTTTAAAAACATATATTTAAATTTTTATAATATTTAGATAATTTTTTATTAAGTTATGAATAAATAAAGAATTCCAAAAAGTTTTATTACACACTGTATATAAAATAGAATAAGTACTAAGATATAATTTATATAAATTTTATAATTTTTGATTGTATAATTAAAGATCAAAAAATTGATAAAGTTAAAATTTACTGTATAATAAAAACACAACAAGTGAACTCAAACTTTTGGAAGCAACCATATATCTAATCTGATAAAAAGCAACAAAAAATAAAAATAAAAATAAATAAATAAAATTTTTGTTATTTTTATTATTAATATAATAACCTTTAAAAATAAATACATAAATTTGAACCTTTATTATTAAACAATTTTTTTTTAAATTCATGGGTATCAATTAAAAAATCAATAAATTAAAGTTATTTATAATTTATATTAACAAGATATTATATGCATGTTTACGAAAACCGATTTCTGAATATATTAACTTTGATTCAACTATATCAGCGCATGCATGAACAACTACAAGGTTTGCAACTCAACAGTAGTACCGGTAACGTTAAATATGGAAAACCAGAAAAAATTTTATTTGAAGGGATTTTGATGAAATGATTAAAGGGGACAGGGAAAGGGTATAGGGATAAAGTTAACATGGGAAGTGATGAAAAGCAATGTCAAAAGTTGAAGTGAAAGAAAATGAAAAGGGAATATCCGCTTATTAATGTCTGTGCACAATGTCCAATGAAGCAACCTAAATCCGCACGTCGCATCTTTATAAAGAACTAAGCTCCTATTGTTCCATATACAACATCTAAAAGGAATAAAAACGAAAAAAGGGGACAGTAAAAAAGAAATAAAAAACGAAGGGGAAACTAACGCAATTAAACAGTTAAAACGTAGATGCCGGTATAGGCTCATTACATTTGTTAATTTACTGCGACTACAAAGATTCTCACTCTTAATGATTACCGGAACCAGTACGATGCATTCAACCTGCAAATTCTATCATAAACAAATGAGCCTCTTACATAGGGTTACCACCGCTGTTAAAGTGAAATCCGCTATTGGGTAAGCTAACATCTGACTGAAAAACAAAATGACCAGAATTAATATCCATCTCTGGAGCTATCGCTGTATCTTCATCTTCTGCAAAGTATTTATCAATTATATGATATGCCTTCTTGTAAATCTCAATATTGTCGTGAATCTGCAAATTGTGGATTTTCTCCATACCACCAGCTTCCTCAATAAACAAGGAAAACTGATTAACGCCATCGACCTTTTCCATATCACCAACTTTTAAAATATTTTCAAGACCGTCTAAAGCGACTTGGATTATCTTATTATCCATACAAGTCAGCAAATCACAAAGGGGCTTGATACAGCCTTGACTAACGAGATATTTGATTTGTTCAGGTTTGTTTAGACCACCGGATGTTGCATTGGAAATTGCCCAGCATGCTTCCTTACGAGTCTTAAAGTCGGCATGTTGCAAAATATTGATAAGAGGAGGTATAATGTTGGCATCTATGACAGCTTGTATTTGAGCACAATTACCCGCGGTAATATTGGATATGGTCCAGCAAGCTTCTTTGCGAAGACCATCCTTAGGGCTAGACAACAAACTTAACAAAGCTGGGAGCGCACCACAGTTAATAATAACTTGAGTTTGAACATCATCACCAGTTACAATGTTTCCAACAGAACGCAAAGCAGGAGTCTGAACAGATGTCGAGGAATGCCTAAAAGTATTTAAATTAATCAGTTAATTATCATACTTCGATAAAACTTGTACACGCATATAAACCGTTAACTTACATTAAAAGCTCAACGAGTCGGCGACAAACACCAGACTCGATAACAGCTTGTATCTTTTCATTGCTGCCATCCGACAAATACGAAATTGCCCAACATGCGTCAATAAGAACTTCATCGTCGATCGAATAAATAAGCTTAGCGAGAACAGGAAGTGCAGGAGCAATCTAGATATAGAGGAAAAACCGAATTATTAAAATAAATTAAATCAATGTAAGGTTTTTGAGACCGCAAAAACTTAAATAATTACCAAACTCCATTCCGGCTGAGGACTTTTACCTCGACAAAAGTTCGAAAGAGTCCATGTTGCATTACGCAACATAGACAACTTATTATGTTCATTCAGAATATTCAATAAAGGTCGGAGAGCCCCTTCACGCAAAACGTAATCACGGCACGGCGGACTATCCCCAGCAATGTTTCCTAAAGCCCATACAGCCTAAAATAAAGATTAAATCGTGAACATGTTGCAAAGTAAAAAAAAAAAAAAAAAAAAACGATATTGATTAATAAAAGTAAAAAAGGCTTTACCTGCTCTTTAACATCAGCTACAGGACTACTCAATAATTCAACAAAAATAGGGACAGCTCCAGCATCGATTACGACCTGAGTTTGCTGAGAAGATCCGGAAGCTATGTTCGTTAAAGCCCAAGCTGCTTCGAACTGTATAGCGATTTATGTGTGTATTAAAATCATGTAAATACAATAATGTAGTTAAAAAAATCAACTAGACATTTTCTTGCCTGGACTAAAGAATGTGGAGATCTCAAAAACTCAACAAATCGTGAAACCACTCCACATTCAATAACTTGCTCAATAGGGGGGTTCCTTTCCTTCGAAAGCAACTTTCTGAACTTGGTAGTAGCCTGAAGTTGCTCTTCAACATTATCAGAGAAAACACCTTGTATCATCCCAGGCAATTGCTCTTGGAGCTAACAATAAACAATGTTGATTAGATAACAAAACTCATCAGTGTTTGAAATAAAATTTTACTATACAATTTAGCATCTTTAAAAAATATTTTTAGAAACAAAAAAAGTGCATATGTGTGTAAAAAGTGGCAAAAACAAGGAATCAGACTCTTATCAAACTGCCTCCGTTATCCACAAGTCTTATTATAAAAGGCTTGTTGCGCAGCAGCGTAAGTGAAATTACAAGCCGTACCTGAGCATTGATAACCGCAACGGCAGACTCATCATCGGAGTCAGGTGAGGCAGGAACATTAAGATTGCGACGTTTCGCTAAGGATTCTTCACGATTTTTCCTGCGAATTTCGATCTGTTGCTCTTCACGGCGGCGGCGTAATTCGTCAGCTTTGAAAACAGATTTTGCTTTAAAAGCGTTTTTTCTATGTTCAGGTATTTTATCCATTTCAGTTAGTATATTTGTGATATGAGAGAAATCCTGAACCGTCGACCACTAAACCACTTGTTAAGCCCTTCCTCAAGGACAGAAAGGGAGTACGTTGATCTAGTTAAAAATCTTTTTGTTGAAACGATGTGATTGTTGATCATGTGATCAGGTATAATCATTTTTATTGGCCCGATTTCCAAAATCTGCGGATAAAGCAGAACAAACGGTAAAACACAATTCATTGAAAATTACTGCGTATCAAAATTTTGTTTAGCTAGTATATAGAATATATTCAACCCTTTCTAAGTATAGATTATTGGGATTATATAGAAATTTTTATAATCATATACTGTATATTAGAAACAATAAAACTTCAAAATTTTTAAATAATATTGACTTTTATTAATCTATATTAAAAAAATTAAATTAAATAAAAAAAAATATTTTTTATAAAAATTTCAAAATATAAAAAGAAGTATTAGGATTATATAATTTTATATTGATTTAAAAAATTGGTATCTTTATTATAAGTAATAGTTTTTTCTTAATATATAATAAAAAAAAATTCTTTAAATGGTATTAAATATATAATTTTATTTAAATAATATAATTTTTTTTGTTTTTTTATAAAATATTATTTATTTATTTATTTATTAATTTACAATTATACTGTCATAACTTGCCTTTATTAAAAAATTAAATAAAATTCTATAATAATTTATAGACTTTTATAAAGTAATCAACTCATTATTATATATAAGTACTTTAAATTAGATTTTAAGAACAATATTATATTTTTCTAATATAATTAAATTAATTTTTATTATTAGAATTATTATTAATAGTTTGTTACTATTGATTAATCTAAAAATTAATAAATTATTAAGTTAAGAAAAAAATAATAATAATTTGAAAAAGAGTATATATTCTTTTCTTAAAAGAATTACTAAATTAAAATAATTTTTTTTGCTTTACTTGAATCTTAAAAAAAATTTTATTATGATTTGTAATATTGAATAAGTCAATTTATTTTTTTTTTATTAAGCAAGTATTATATTAGAATATTTCAAGAAAAGTATTCAAACCTCAGCTTTTATTAATTAAAACTTTATTACTATTTAAGAAAATTAAAAAATATATATAAATTTGTAATATATATTGTCTATTTTTTAGTCTTTTAATTTATAGATATCTTCTTTAAAAAACTTGAACTTTTAAAAAATAGATATTTTCAAAATATTTTTTTCAAACATCAATAATATTATTATAATATAGGAGTATGACCAATAAGTACTTATTTATATTTTAAAAATTAATATATTTTATTATCCTTAATAAGAATTTGTATTACTTAAAATGAAAGCTCTAAGAAAATCAAATAATTAGAAAAGAGAAAATAAAAAATTTTTATTATAGATAATTTCTATAATCTTTTGCTTCAAAAAATAAAAAAAATTTTATATATTTTATAATTGATTCTTTTTTTAAAAAAAAATTTCTTATTATTAATATCAAAGATATTACTTGACTTTTTGATTATCAAAAATTAAGTTTTTAAGTAAAAAGGTTTATAAATAAAAAATAAAACTTTTTCTGCTAATCTTCTAACCATATACAAAAAAAATGTTCACAAGAAGTTTTTATATTTTTTTACTAATAAAGTCTTAATACTTTCTTTAAAATAACTTAAAGTATGGTTTCAAGAGTCGCTTCTATCATTTCGTCTTTTGTTTACAAATCTCTTTACTCAAAAACTTGACTTTTAGTAACCAAGAAAAGTCAAGTAATACCTTTGATACCAATGGCAAGAAAGTTCCCAAAGGAAGAAAAACTGACCATAAAGTACCTGAAGACCTATCTAATCTTTAAAGTATGAGATATATAGAGGTTTTTGATAACAGAAAGGATTATTTTTCCCCTTCCAGTTACTTGTAAATCTCTTAGAACTATCACTTTTATAGTTTTCTAAGGAATTTTGTCAACCTCAGTTTGACCCTGAATTTTGAGTAGTACAAATCCTTATCAAAGGTGATTGGTTGACATAAAATATATTAGTTTTTGGAATGTAAACAAGCTCCTATTGGTTATATCCACGTGTTCTGATAACATCATTGGTAATTGGAAAGAAGATTCCAAAAACGTTTGCTCTCGAAAAAGCTCAAGTCTCTTAATGAAAACTTCCATGATATCAAAAGATTAAATGATAAATAATGTGAATTGCAAACTTCCATCTCTTATCTAAGTTCCTCAAGTAGTAACAAAGATTTAATGAAAAAAAGCTGAGGTCTAAATACTTTCCTTAAGATATCCCAATTTGATACTCACTTAAATAAAAAACTAGTTAAATTGACTTGTCTGATATCACAGATGGTGAAAAGATTTCTTCTGAGATTCAAGTGAAGCAAGAAGACTATCCCAATTAAGTAGATCTCTTTTGAGAAGATATTGTTTTTATTTTTGAATTTTTTTTTATGGACCTTGAATTATCTTCTTTCCTCAATTGTTTTTTCCCTCTTTTTTTTTTAACTTAGCAATTCATTGGTTTTTGAGTAATCAACAGTGACAAACTATTGACAATGATCCTAATAAATAGAGACTATTATCAATCTATTAGGGGAGTATAATATTATTTTCAAAATCTGACTTAGAATATTTTTATATAAAGATGAGTTAGTTACTTTGTAAAAATCTATAAAATATTGTAAATTTATTTCAATTTTTCAATAAAGACAAGCCATTATGGCATAATTGCAGATTAAAAAAAAAAAAAAGATTTATAAATAAAAAATAAAAAA